CTGTGGCTAAAGTAGAGGATTTTCACTTTCAGCAAAAATGGATTCCCACCTTTTCCATGGCACCTCTGGATGAAACCAGCTATTTGTGGCCTAAGTAAATGTTTCCTATTTCTTTCACGGCTTTTCCTAAATAATTCCTGCTGTCTGTTGTTTTAGTAATGGATCTCTTGCCTTTTCTGTGGCCTTAACAAGTCCTAACTTCCTTCTTCCATGCGACCTTATAAGCTCAGGCTTCAAAGGTGCATTGTCCACGAGTCTGTGTCTTCAGATTGAATTGCGGTTGTCATCCTTGTGTTTCTCTTAGTGTAGCCATGATTCATGATGATTGCTGTCTATGGTGGCATTGCTCAGCCTGAGCTTTAATTGTTTTATGTGGAGCTTTTTCAGGCTGTAATCCTGCACCATTTTCAAAAGTTTTCCTTGGGCCTCAGGGATTTTTAACTTTGCTCACACACAGCTTCCAATGTCTGCTAGCCCTCTGACTAGAGCCCAACTGCTGATGGTCCTACCGAATACTGGTACCTGATGCTATCTGTAACTGCCTTGGAGTGACTAATACTTCAGTTCCAGAGAGTTCTGAATACTCACCTATTGCAGCGTGTCTCTTACAATATGTTTTACCATTTACTGTTGATTTAGGCTTGTTGAATCTTTCAATGAAGTTTCTTCTGTACGATTCTTGAATTTTCAGATCTTTCTATTGCTGACTGTTTGCATGAATAGGAGTCTTAAAGATGCATCTGAAGAAATCTTCAAACATCACCACTGCCAGCATGTGGCATGAGGCAGCTGAATGAAATACTCACACTGTTCACCATCTAATGTCAGAATTCCTCACTGATGCTCACCATATTGTGTTGATGCAGTCAGGAAGAAGTTTCCTTGAGAGCTCTCAACATTGACTGCAGATCCTACAAAGTCTCATGGCAACAGTTTAAAAATCAGCAAGGAAACCTCTTTCTCAGTACCATCTACCCTTTCCCCCATATTCTGCAATGTTCATGGGTCAGCGTGTCCCCTATTCTGCTTTTAACATCAACCCTGGTTCAAAGAACAGTGTAGGAGGGCATGCCAGGAGCAACACCAGGCATGCCTAAGGATGAGGTGTGAGCCACATGAAGCTACAACCCAAGATTACTTGTGTGCTCAACAGCGTAAATTGTAGACAGAGCTAAGCGATTGTGCAGCTAAATCTACGTTCTACAGTCCTGCCACATGCTGTTATATAAATTTAACAATTCACTGGAGAAGCCTCCACAAATATCCCCATCCTCAATGAGGATATCTCTCAACCCTCACTGGCCTGCATCTTACAATGGAGAAAATTGCCCAGATCTATTCTGTAGACAAAAATCAAGATAAATCCAACCTGACCAATTACTGCCCCATCAGTCTACTCTTGATCATCAGTAAAATTATTGAATGAGTCATCAATCGTGCTAAGTGTTTTGAAATGGTGCAAAGATACACTGCAGAAATTCACCAAGCCTCCACCAACACAACTCAATATCCATCATGGGCAGACCTCAGGATGCATACTGGAATTGATAAATGTTCTTAAGTGCCTATTGATGAATTCAAGCTCATCGGAACTACACGTTTTGCACTTTTTATGAACGTTATATGTTTAAATAATCCCAAAGGACAGCTTAGCTTCTCCCAACATTGTTTCAGGACCAGATCCAAAAGGGTACCCTACTTCTCCAAATAACTTCAGCATATTTATAAACAAAAACAGAAATTATGGGAAAAACTCAACACTCCAGCAGAGGTCTAAAGTGCATAAATTGTGTTTTAGATATTCATTTGTGTTAATTAGATCAGCTTGCACTTTTATTTCCCCCTAAACAACCCGATCAGAGATGATATTACATGCCTTTGGGGCAGGTGGCTCTTAAACCCAAACTCCTGGGTCAGAGGTAGAGACATTACCACTTCATCACAAGAACCCTCAGCTGACAGTGAACCACAGAAGCATGAATTAGAATCTGCCACCATTTCCCCACAACCCAATGAGTAAGGTAGATGTTGGGATTAGGGCAGGACTTCTAGATTCAAGACTCAGCTGCCATTCTCATGAAAAACAAGAACCATAGATTTTTGTTAGCCAAAGTTATTAAACATTTAAAACACATATACTTGAAATTTACTTAAAAATGTTTTTAATTATTTTGTGAGAACCTACGGTAATATTTAAAAATTCATTTACGGGATGAGGGCATTGCTGATTAGGCCAGTATTTATTGCCCATCCCAGAGGGAAGTTAAGAGTCAACTGCATTGCTGTGGGTCTAGAGTCACATGTAAGTCAGACCCGGTAAGGATGGCAGTTTCCTTTCCAAAAGAACATGCGTGAGCCTGATTCGGTTTTTCTGGCAATCAACAATGGTTTCATGGTCATCATTAGACCCTTAATTCCAGATTCTTTATTGAATTCAAATTTCACCATCTGCCATGGTGGGATTTGAACCTGGGGCCAGAACGTTGCCTGGGTCTCCGTCCAGCAATAGTACAACTAGGTCATCGCTTCCGATAATAAAAAAAATTGAAATGTGTATCCTTGCATTGCATGTGACGTATTGTGTCTGGCTCTTTTGGCTGCATTCTCTGTAGCCATATGAATTGCCAAATGCATTTCTTATGAAGTTGTTGCTTTATAAGTCTCTTTGATAGCTCCTAATGGATCAGTAGTCAAATGCAGGATCTGGTTTTGAGTTGCAAGGCCCAGGTAGAATCTCCAGTATGATGTCAGTAAAGGATAAGTCTCCTTGGCTAAGGAGGAGAGAAACTAAGTAGTCAGGGTTTCTGTTCCCGATCACAACATGAGGAATCTTGCTGTAAAGTTCAGTAGAAATCAAATGCAACAGAATTGTGTCGTGAATCAGTCAGCCATCCTAATACCCTGGAGCTGATGTGCTACCAGCAGACACTACACATGGAGAATAACAACTTGACTCACAGTCAGAGGACAACTAGTATTCTAGAAACCACATTGAAGCATGAAGCAACAACTTCAAGCAAGAAAACGGAAGAAAGAAAACCGAGAAGAACTATGGTTAGGGCTGTCCATGTCTAGCTTGCCTGTGATTGGACAGAAAGTCACAGGTTAGTAAGCACAAGATATATAACTATATCCGCTATATATCAACAGAAATAGTTAACAAATATCAACTTCATTTTAAAACTGGACCTGGTAACAAACTCTGTGCTTCTTCCTTACCCACAAGCTCAAAGGAAAAGAGAAATTGTTGGATTGCTCGAATGTTCTTCAAATCAAAGGTCACGATAAGGGCTGTAAGTGACAGAGTAACGGTTTCTGGTTGTGCCAGTGAGATAATGATCTGAGTTACATACACAGTAATACACAGTGGCCCATAACAGGAAATATTACTCTTTGATACTGCAACTGCACTCCACAATGCTCCTGCAGACAGGAAATTGTGTAGTGATCAGGAGAATTTCTGACACCCTTTCTTAACAAAGGGTTTCTGTTTCCACTACTCGTCCCCCATTTAAATTATCTTCCTTTCATTTTCTGAAAGAGATTTTTATATTTCCTGCTTGGATGTAAAACAGGGCCTTAATCTGAGTGTATACAGCAATGTGTGGTACGTTGGAATACCAGCCATTAACAGCATACACTTGATTCTCTGTTTAAACTCAAGGAATGAAGAATATGTTTTACATGTAAGGATTTTTCTCTGCAAATCAAAACTGCAGACATCTGATTCTTATTGGGCCAAATCTCACCGTTATAACCTGAAACTTCTTTGTACACTGATGGCAATTTGGTTCTGTACCATCTTATCTGTATCCTTTCCCCAAACTCTACAACAGTGCGCTGTTTACCATTACTTGTCCAGGGTCAATACCCAACATGATTTGATCACAACACACCCATGACTAGTTCTCATACCAACATTTACCCTTGTTATTAACATATGTCAATTTCATGCAATTTATATTTTCAGAAAACAGAAGTGAATTCAAGTGAAGCAGTTCTACATATGTAAATACAACATCAACATTAATACCAGTCTTGTCAATAAGGCTTTAAAATGATCCATTGGTACAAGGAAAACAGAGTACCTGGGTTGTGAATGGATCTATTCTGGAGTCTGTTTGCAAGTCGATTTGTACGCAAGTACATTAGGAACACAATGCAGGATAATATAAATTAGCCATTTTTAAGTACAGGATACATTCATATGTCAGATCTTTAAAATTACACCCCTGTATGGGATCATGTTCCTCAGTATGAAGTTTGTAAGTCAGACATTTGTAAATCTAATTATTGTTTAGTAATAGACCATTAACTGGTGGATGATTGCCAGTGTGAGGATCCTTGATTAATGAGCAGGAATCCAACTGGAATGATGTTTCTTATAAAAATAGCTCTTCCTAATGTCTATTTAGTTGAACTTCCCACTTGATAGATTATAGATATCTTCAGTCTACCTCTTCAGGCATGTTATGACACACCTTTGAAGTACATGGGACTTGAACTAGGGCTCCTTGACCCAGAAATGGGGACACTACCATCACACCACAAGATCCCTTGGTTGATGGGGATATTTTCTAATCAATCTGTTCAGTGATATTATTACACACTACTGAAGCAGGTGGAAGTTGAATCTGGATCTCCCTTCTTGGTGGATTATACGGTTTGTCCGCCAGCAAAAAAGTTAGTTTAATTGGCTGTTTAGGTACCCAAGCAGAGGTTAGTGGATCATTGAGACCCCTACCAGTCAGTTCATGGGTTAGCTAATTGGTGATCTGTACTCCCATCAGTATCCCTGTATGCCAATTTGGCAATTAACTACAATAACAAAAATTTGTATTTCATCCCAAGTTCCAGGTTTGGAAACTGTTCAGATAATTATTCAAGCCTCCCTTCCCACGAAGCACGTTGGTATATTTTTAAGATGCCACAGGGTGTGAGAACACAGGTTATTTTCCCAAATGTCTGATATATTCCTGTTCATGTTTATTTTTCTGCAGATGTCAGATCCAATTAACTGGTTGCATAGCACCAAGAAACTTTGTCAGGTAGTGATTGAAAAGAGTGAGCAACGAATTGCAATGCCGCTTAAAGAGGTAAGTGAAATCTCATGTCTTTGTATTGAAAACGCTTCCCAAATAGGTCAAATGGGCAGATGCTGTGGAAATACGCTGCACCATTTGAGGAAGATCTAGGAGATAGGGAAAACATGATGATGCATCAGTGAACTGAGAACACTACTGTGTAAGGGAGAATGGAGACAATGTTAATTGTGAGATAATTGTAAAAAATCTGCTTTTTGGGAAATACATTCACCTAGCTGCAGTGGATGGCATGGAATGTATTTAGTGTGGTTTATTAGTCAGTTTTTGCTTTCATGATCACCTAACGCCTTTTCAATTTGTATGAATTTTGCATTTAATGTAAGTAGCAATTAAAGGGTTTTTTAAAATCAAATTGTGTAAATCTTCTAAGATGTACACTGTCAGAAGCCTTAAAAATATTAATGAATTAATACAGAATCAGACTATAAAATTGAAACTGTGTATTTTCCTCTACAGTCAAATCTATTTTACTCAATGCTTGTGGTGCTTATAGCCCACTTCTGACTTAGCAAGCATTACAATCGAAGAGAAGTTATGTTTAAATATTTTTGGCCTTTGTTAGAATTGTAGATGTTGAGTGATTTGAATATGACTTGTCATGGCACAGTCTCATTTGTCACATATGAAAGCAAAATACTGCAGATGCTAGAAATCTAAAAGGAAAATAGACAGTGCTGTACAAATTCAACAGATCTGGCAGCATCTGTGGAGAGAGAAACAGAGTTAACATTTCATGTTTGATAAGACTTCTTCAGAAATGAAATGAGTTGGAAAATTGTCTTTATTATGTGCTGGACAGAGGGAAAGGAGGAGCAAATGGAACACGTTGTAAGGGTAGTGAATAAGGGTACTGACCTGAAAGATCAACTTTCCTGCTCCTCTGCTGCTGCCTGGCCTGCTGTGTTCCTCCAGCTCCACACTGTGTTATCTCTCATTCCAGCATCTGCAGTTCTTACTACTCTGAACAAGTTGAGACTGAACTTGTCACTGTCACTAAGTCACCTTTTATTTACATGTGGAAAGTTCTTAACACAGATCCAGCTTCCTCAGATCCAGCTCTCAGAGTGAACAGAACCTCTGACACTCCTGTTCTTATCCATCAGCCAGGGCTCCCTGATTGGACCAGATGAATAGCCCCACTCAGGGAACTCATGTTCGATGAGGTCTGCCTGGCTGACCTCGTTACAATCACTACAGGTGGACTCAGAGTGAAAGACAAAGATGTTGCTTATGGTGGTGAAGGACAGATAACATGTAACATGAATGTGTGAAAAGGAGAGAATGGATCTCCTCTGCTGACTTTGCATAGCTTGGCTGTGATGTTCTCCATTGCCAAATGTCTTTGTGTAGCGATGTTCGAGATTTGCCAGTTGCCATGGAATTGTACCAATCAATTAGATCAGTTGCAAGATGGGACTGCAGGTATTCTATTGGAATCGCTCATGTTAGTAGTAGAGAGGAGGGGGCAGGGTTGTTGATGAATGAGACACTGTTAAAACCACTCAGTCCTTAACTTTTTCCATTGTTGGTGAAGACAGCGATAAAGATCAGACAAGGGGCACTTGTGGTGCAATGGTAATGCCTTTACCTCTGGACTAGGAAGCCTGGGTTCAAGTCTCAAATGAGCTAGAGGTCTGTAATAACATCTCTGAACCAGTCATATGACGTAGGAGCTGAATTAGGCCATTCGACCCATTGAGTTTGCTCTACCATTCTTCCATGGCTGTGTGTTTCTCAACCCCATTCTCCTGCTTTTTCCCCGTAACAGTTGATTCCTTTACTAGTCAAGAACCTAGCTATCTCTGTCTTAAATACACTAATGACTTGGTCTCCACAGCCTTCTGCGGCAATGAGTTGCATAGATTCACCACTTCTGGTTGAAGAAATTCCTCCTCATCTCAGTTCCTTCACTCTGAGACTGTGCCCTTGGGTCCCAGTCTCTCCTACTATTGGAAACATTATTGATTAGAAAAATATAAAGATCAGATGAAGGGCAAAATTGTTGAACTTAATCTTTCCAGTTACCTTGATGGAAACTTTATAAGTCCATTTTCTTATGTTTTTCTTCTTTAAGACTGATTCTGGTAGAAATAACTGCAATGTTTCTTTACTTTTTAGCATTCCTATCCCTGAGAATTTGGCAAAGTGTATTTAACATAAAGACAAATCGGGTTAGAGTGGTGGTAATTTCTATTTGATCCAATTTTGTTTATGGGATGTGGGCACCCCTGACTGGGCCAAGCATTTATTGCCTTTTCCTAATTGGCCGTCAGGATGTGCTGCTGAGCTGCCTTTTTGAACCTCAGCTGTCCTTGAGCTGCAGGGACACCTTTGGTGTTGTTAAGAAGGGGTCTCCAGGATTTTGACCAGTGACGGTGAAGGAACAGTGCTATATTGCAAGGCAGTATGCTGTGTAGCTTAGAGCAGAACTTACAGTTTGGTGGTATTCCCAAGCATCTGTCTCTCTTGTCCTTCAAATGGTAGAGCTTGTGGGTTTGGAAGGTGCTGTCAAAGGCCCATGGTGAGTCGTTTCAGTGCGGATTGCAGATGACACACACTGCTATCACTGTGTTGGTGAAGAGAGTAAATGTTGAAGGTGGTGGATGGTGCCAACCAAGCAGGCTGCTTTGGCTTGGATAATATTGAGCTTCTACTGTGGTTTTGGAGCTGCACTCCTCCAGGCATGTGGAAAGTATTCCATCACACTCCTGACTTGAGTCTTGTTGATGGTAGATAGGCTTCTGGGGTCTCTGATCTACTCAGTGGCTGCTTTTATGTACACGATTGGTCCAATTTCTAGTCAGTGGTAACCCCAGGATATCGATAATGTGGAACTTCAGTGATTACAATTGAATGCAAAGGGGGTGATAGCTAGGTTCTGTCTTGTTGGAGATGATCATTGCCTCACACTTGTGTAGAGTGAATATACCTGCCACCTATTACCCCAAGCCTAGATATATGGATGATGTGGAAGTGCCGGTGTTGGACTGGTGTGGATAAGGTCAGCTGTCACTAATACCTGAAGAAGGATTGAGGCTCCAAAAGTTTGTGTTTTCAAATAAACCTGTTGGACTATAACCAGGTGTGGTGTGATTTTAGATATATTGGAGATATACCTATATGGAGATATACCCATACTTACAATAGATTCCAAATGAAAATTAATTGATCAGAGAGATGCATTCATATCCTTTTTTTGAAAAAGAATACAACCATTGAAATAAATACGAAAGAAAATAAGATTCTCTACAATCAGTAATTTTTAAGTCTACTTTGGTGCGCTGTGTTAAGTGATCAAAATGATACATCATGAGAATGTCCCCTCACATATTCCTTGTCTTCACGTTCCATTAGTTCTGCGTAATGAGCCATCAGCTCTTATTTCTATCAGTTGCCCAGCTTCTGATAGTCACCCAGGTTGCTATGCAGATTGGAAGGCTGCAAGACCAAATGTGACCACTGGGGTATGCTCTAAGTAACATTGTTCTCAAAAAAATGTGAGAACTCTGTAAATAGCTAAGATGTGCTTTGAGCTTTGGTTTTAGATTGATCAAAGGCTGATTTTGTCCTCCTCTTAATTCTCATTCCATGAGATTTATGTTTATTCCCAGATTGCTAGTAAAACTGTATTTGTGGATTTGCTAATTTGTGGTTCTGAGGAAGGGTCACCGGACCCGAAACGTTAACTCTGTTTTTTTCCTTCACAGATGCTGCCAGACCTGCTGAGCTTTTCCAGCAGATTTGTTTTTGTTTGTGGATTTGCTGACAGGAATTGGATGCAGTCTGTTCCTGTGCTGCACTCTCCTATGTTTTCTGTTCTAATGCAAATACTGGGATACAGAATCTGACTAAGAACAAGATAAAATCAATTTCAATTGTTTCAAAAGGAAGTCTAGCACAAGTGGAAAATTTGAAGCTTTCTGTAAAACTAAGTGGAAATGATGCCTCCTGCCATGTTCACATCTTGCTTGATGGACTAGCATCAAATTAATATTATGCAAAATCTATCTCAATTAAATTGTAAGATTTGCACATTTGCTGTTCTGGCAAAATCACTTCAAGCTTTTTGCAGTCTGGCCTTCTCCTAATTTTAATGGAAGGTTCTTTTCAAAACAGAGAAGTAGAAGTTGCACAATACCAGTGAGTTGAGAATTTAAGCAGTTCACAACCAGAATAAAACATTAAGTTTGACAACAAGCAAGTTGTGCTGTTGGCAGCAATTTTTGACCAGGGCCAGCAGGAAATGGAAATCTTAATGATAATAACAGCAATTTCCTTTGCAATTCATTATGCTTTGTTTCCAAACGTAGGGAAGAAAATGATTTGATGACATGCCCTGCCTCCGCCTGCATGTATGCCACCTCTTTATTTACATTATAGGACTTCTTCTTGAGGCAAGGCTGTTTCTAGAGGCACACATAAATAAAGCAAATGCCATTTTCCCTCTTGTCTATTGCCTAGAGAGAGACAATTCATTTTCAAGGGCTGTCTCCCCCCACATTACAACCATTAGTTATACCCCACCACCTCCAATGTGAACACACACATCCATTTAAAACCTCAAATGCATAAATCTGTTGTAATTGATCCACATTCATCTAAGACCAATCCACCTAGTTTGTCAATTGTCTGATCCAATGTGTTTGAAGGTATATCTGATTTTTCAATAGACACATGAGACCTTGTTTCTTCACCATTCAAGATGTAGGCATTTAATGGAGTATGAAATCCAAGGACACTTCCTGTAAAATTCTAGAACTTTAGGTCATTAGAACTGATCATAGGAAAATAAGACTTCACTATAAAGAAGGAAACTGTTGTGGGGGCTTTGTTCGGCAAAGTATCAGACTCTCCTCAGTGCTAGCACTGGCCTCAGAGTTAGAAGTTGTGGGTTCAAGTCCCACCACAGAATTTAAGTATGTAATCCAAGCTGATACTTCAGTGAATTGTCGAGGAGTACTACATTGCTCTGTTTCAGATGCAAGGTTAATCAGAAGTTCTCTGTGGCCTGTTGTGACACAATTTGAAGAAGATTGATGGCTTCTCTAGTGTTCAAATTACTATTTATCTCACAACCAATATCAATAAAAGCAGATTATGTAATCATTGAATTCATAGCTATTTGTGGAAGCTTGCTGTTCTCAAATTAGCTGCCATGTTTCTGCAAGTTTTTTACACTTAATTCTTAAAATACACTAATTCTTAATGTTCCTTTTATTTGTTTTATGCTTTCTCATCTAGGAAGTGACTGCAACTTATCCTGAACTCCATGAGTTGATGGAATCTGTCCAACTGCATAACCTGAAAGAAGATGATATAATTTTAATCAAAGGGTTACAACAACATTCTGAGGCAACAACAGATGGTTTGCAGGTAAACCGTAAAGCTAGCAAAACAAGCTCAACTGAGGACCTCCCATCTTGCATGCATTTTTCGGATTCTTAAGCTTCTTGAAATGTCTTAATAGGAAATGGAGCAACTTTCCAAATTGTAACCGCTCTTAATATGAATTCATCCTAAAATTATGGTGCAGTTTTATAATGTTGATTAATGGTAGCAACTGAGATGAGGCTCACCAAATCTCAATTCAAAGTGACTGGCAGAGAGAGGCTTTAACCCTGTCACACCATTAAGGAATTGAAGACAGCTCAAGAAGTGATTGAGGGCTTGAGCCAGCTCCGGCCAGCAATTTTCACCGAATCTTTGCACGTTTTCCGTCCTGTAAAACTGAACAAGCTGCTGTTTGGTATTCAGGTGTCAGAGTCAATTAACCCGTTGACCTCAAAGATACATATTGATGACAGTGGTTATCCAATTTATCCAATATAAATGACATTTGACATGAGTCAATGCCTGAGCAGTAGTATCAAAGCATCACAGCATTACCAGTACACTTCGATAGAAATGTGATCTCTATACAACGGCAGTGAATGGTCATGTTCAGACACTGTAATGCCAATCAATGTGACAAATACATGGGTGGTCCCTTCACCTTCCCAACTTTTTGCAAAGGTCTGCCTGCATGACGGTTCTAAACATCCCCTGGCCAGATATCTGCACACTTTCTGCTCAGGAAATCAATTCTCATTTTTACTTTGTGCAAATCCTATGGAGACCAGTTATCTCAATTATTAACCAGTTTTGTTTGAATGTTCCAGATAAAATCATAGCAGTAGAAAGAATACATTTAATAATCGTAGGGCCAAGTGATAAAGTACAAAAAAAGACTTACATTTCTAAGTTGATTTATAATCAATGCATTGCTTATGAAGTGTAATCACTGTTGTAATGTAGGCTAAATGTAGAGCAAAACTTTCTGGATTCTCCCTGTACAACAAGGCTTTATCAAAACCTTATCAAAATGTTCCCTACTTCATCTATCCCTATGGCCTTTCAGAATGTCTGTAAATAACATAGGAAAGGATATACAAAAAAAAGAGACGGTAATCATGGCATTCTAAAAAACATTCATTTTTGACCCATGTTAAGAGAATTCTTTGATGAAAAAACAAAATGGATAATGAAAATACAATATTCTGCTTTATGTTGATTACCATATCACCTTGATTCATAAAATGCAACTTATACAAACCTGTTAAAGTTGATAATATAGGAAGTTAATCAGGATAGTGAAATAGAGGGACTGAAAACAACAAATGTTGGAGATCACAGCGAGTCAGGCAGCATCCATGGGTAGACATCAAGCTAATGGTCCGAGTCTACATGACTCTTCATCAGAGCCATAGAGGGTCCTTGGTGTGGCAATTTGCACGTTATTAAAGATGGTAAGATAAGGTCATAAATTGAGATATTTTGGACGAACGTTGTCTTTGTCATTAATGCAAAATACAAATCAGCCGTCTTTTTTTTTGAACCTACATGGGATAAGGGACATTGTCAGTAAGGCTGGCATTTATTACTGACCCCTAATTGCCCTTAAACTGACTGACTTGTTAGAATTCAGAGGGCCATTAAGACTCACCCATATTACCGTGGATCTGGAGTCAAATGTAGACCGTACCACGCAAAGACAGTAGATTACCTTACCAAAAGTATGCTAGTGAACAAGATGGAGCTTTGCTATGATCACCAATAGTTTCATGTTCCACATTACTGAGACTAGTGCTCAATTCCAGAATTATTAATTGAATTCAAATTCCATCAGCTTCTATAGCCAAGGACTGATAGCCTAGGCCTATAGATTACTAGTCCAGTGACATTACCATTTCAACACCACATCCAAAATTGTTACTTTGTTGAAAAATGGAAAGGAAAGTAGGACAAGGTAAAAGTTGGAATGCAAATTCAGATGGAGCACATCTTGCGCCACTGGCAAAGACCGATTTGACACTCACTGAATATGTATCATTTACAAATGTATACCATGATTGCAGCATGGAAGTTCCAGAAAATTATAGTGAAATTAACAACATTTACAAACGTTGCATCATAATTTCTTAGAACTTTTTGCACTATTCTGCTTTTACTCCTTGCTGAAAATAGCTAGAAAATAATTATCATATTCTCAACTTTGTTAAATCACCAACAATTGTGAAAATGATATTCTGAAGCCAGTCCTTGTCCTGCTGTTGCTGCTTAGAATTAAACATGATCATTTCGTCATCCACTCCTTTGATTGTCCGACTGTTCTTCTCTCTCTTTGGGCTCTATCCCCACCTATCATTTACTCCTTATCCCCTCCCTCCACCCTATCTTCTGCATATAAACAGACATTTTCCTAGCTACCATCAGTTCTGAGGAAGGGTTACCAGTTCCGAAATGTTAGCTCTGATTTCTCTTCACAGATGCTGACAGACCTGCTGAGCCTTTCCAGCAACTTCTGCTTTTGTTTCTGATTGTTCTTTCGGTTTTGATCATTGTCAACATTGCTGATGTTTGCTGAAGCAAATTCCTTCATTCCTTCACTCCAACATTTCTTCCCATCAATAACATGTAATATAAATTCCTAATTTGAAATGTACAAAATACATTGCAAAATTGGATCCTGTTCAATTATTTCATGCAACTGTGAAAAATGAATAGGTTAAACTGGTCTAGCAAGATAAGCTTTTATCCTTAAATAAATTCAGAAAATCAGATAAAAACTGAAAGAAGTGCGGATGCTGTAAATCAGGAACAAAAATAGAAGTTGCTGGAAAAGCTCAGCAGGTCTGGCAGCATCTGTGAAGAAAAAAATCAGAGTTAACATTTCGGATCCGGTGACCCTTCCTCAGAACAGTTCTCAGGAAGGGTCACCAGACCCGAAATGTTAACTCTGATTATTTCTTCACATAGGAAAATCAGATAGCTGGAAGGGACTATCAGAACATCATACTGAATAGTTCAGATGTCATTTATTGTCACTTGTCCTCAAAAAATGGATTAGTTCATTAAATGATCAGTGTTGATTCTGGAAAACTCCTTAAAACTTCAACTGGTGAATAGCGACATCTTTTTTCTGCAGTGAGTGAATAGGATCTGGAAAACAATACCTGAGAGTGTGGTGTGGGACAAATTCAATTGTTTTCAAAAGAGAATTAATCATCAAACATAGTTACCAACAAATAGCGTCATACAGCACAGAAACAGGCCCTGCGACCCAATTCGTCTATGCTGGCCAGGTATCCTAAACTGATCTAGTCTCATTTGCCTGCATTTGGCCCCTATCCCTCTAAACCTTTCCTATTCACGTGCCTGTTCAAGAAATGCAAACAAAACCACCTTGTATTTGTGCCAGTTCTCTGCAAGAAGCAGTGGGCAAAATAGCCTTCTTCTGTTCTGTACTATTTAACGATTCTACTCTAGGGACGTAAGGCAGGAAAACGCAGTATTGAGTAAATTAATTTTACACTCTGAGTCTCTTCAATGCATCATGTTAACGAATCCTCATTTGATAAGTATGAAACTTAAACCAGTGATAAGATTTTGAATATTGCAATATAACAGGATTGTTTTAGCGAATGAATTTAACTTCCACAACATTGACGGGGACTCCCTTCGTGCCAGGGGCTCAGACAGGGTAGAATTCTTTAGATGCATCCGGGATAGTTTCTTGAAAGAGATAGTCCAACTAGGGAAGGAACTGTACTAGTCCTTATAGTGTGGATAGACCTGGCCAGGTGATTGAAGCATCTTGGGTACAATGATCATAATTCTGTAAGCTTTAAGATAGCTATGGATATGGATAAAACTGGTCCTTGAATAAAAGTGTTAAATGGGGAAAAGCTGATGACAGCGGTGCTGAGCAAGAACTGGAGAAATTAGACTAAGAACAGGTCTTTGTAGTTCAGCACCAGCATGTTCCTGTGAGGATGAAAGGTAACGATGGCAAGATTCAGGAACCTTGGATAACAAGGGATATTGAAAGTTTAGACAAAAAGAGAAAGGAACATATGTAACGTTTAGGAAACTGAAATCAGACAAGGACCTTGAGGAAGACAAAGGAAACAGGAAAGAAGGAAGCAGGAGGGCTAAAAGAGGCCATGAATTGTCTTTGGCAAGTATGATTGAGAAGAATCCCAAGGCATTTTATACATCGATTAAGATCAAGAGTGTAGTAGGCAAAGGATAGGTCCAGTCCAGGACAAAACAAGGAATTTATGCATGGAGCCACAGGAAGTGGGTGAGGTCTTTAATTCATATTGATATTCATCAAGGACACGGACATAGATGATGGTCGGATGAGGGAGGGGTACATTGATGTTCTAAAGCATGTCAATTAAGTAAGAGAAGGATTTAGCTGTTTTGAAAAGCATTAAGGTAGGTAAATCCCAGAGCCTAATCCCTATCCCAGGATACTGAGGGAGTAAGGGCAGAGATTTCTGAGGCCTTGATAGAGATCTTTGTAACTTCTTTAGCCACAGGTGAGATCCCAGGTGATTGGAGAATGATTAATGTTTTTCTTTTGTTTTAGAAGGGCAACAGGGACAATCCAGGAAATTATAGGCCAGTGAGTTTTACATCAGTGGTAGGGAAATTATTGGAGAAAATTCTTAGGGACGAGATTTACTTGCATTTGGGAAAGAATGGACTTACAATGGGTGGTCAGCAGAGCTGTATGTAGGGAAGATCTTGTGTCTCAAATTTGATTGAGTTTTTTGAGGCAGTAACAGACACAATTGATAAGGGTGGGAAAGTGGAAGTTGTCTATATGGAATTTACTGAAGCATTTGACAAGGTTCCACATGATAGGCTGGTCCAGAAAATTAAGTCGTATGGGATCCACAGTGAGTTGGTAAGTGAGATATAAAATTGACTTGGTCATTGGGGGAGGTGTTGACCTAGTGGTATTATTGTTAGTCTATTAATCCAGAGACACAGGTAATGTTCTGGAGATCCAGTTTCAAATCTCGCCACAGCCAATAGTGAAGTTTGAATTCAATAAGAAAATCTGGAATTAAGGGTCTAATGATGAATATGAAATCATTGTCAATAGTAGGGAAAATCCGATCTAGTTCCCTAATGTCCTCTAGGGAAAGAAACTGCCATCTTCATCTGGTCAGGCCCACGTATGACTCCAGGCCCACAGCAATCTGATTGTTAATTGTGCATTGGGCAATAAATGCTGGCCTAGCCGGTGATACCTATATCCTGTGAATGAATTATTTAAAAAGAAGAAAGAGAGTAGTTGTGGAGGTGTGTTTTTCTGACTGGAGGTCTGTGACCAATGGTGTTCAGCAAGGATCAGTGCTGGGACCTCTGTTACTTGTAATATATATAAACGATTTGGATGAAAATGTAGGTGGTCTGCTTAGTAAATTTGCAGATGACATGAAAATTTGTGGATAGTGAGGAAGGTTGTCAAAGGATACAGCAGGATATAGATCAATTGAAAATTTGGGCAGAGGAGTGTCTGATGGCGTTCAATTCAGACAAATGTGAGGTAATGCATTTTGAGAGGTCAAATGGAAAAGTAAAGTATACAGTAAATGACAAGACTCTTAGGAACATTGATATACAGAGGGATCTTGGCATACAAATCCATAACTCCCTGAAAGTGGCAACACAAGTGGTTAAGGTGTTAAAGAAGGCATATGGCATGCTTGCCTTCATTGGTCTTGGCATTGAGTATAAAAGTTGGCAAGCCATGTTGCAGTTGCATTAAGCTTTAGTTAGGCCACATTTGGAGTTTGTGTGCAGTTCTGGCCACCTCACTGTAGGAAAGATGTGGAAGCTTTGGAGAGAGGATAAGAAGTTTACCAGAATGTTGCCTGGATTGGAGTGTGTTAAGGTGAGGTTGGACAAATGTGAATTATATTCGTTAGCATATCAGAGGCTGAGGGGTGGCCTGATAGAAGGTATATAAAATTATGAGAGGCATGGATAGGGTGGATAGACAGACTCTTTTTCCAAGGGTGGAAATGTCAAGTTTAGGGGGCATATGTTTAGGGTGAGGGGGAAAGTTTTTAAAGGAGATTTACAAGGCAAGTTTTTACTCAGAGGGTGCCTGGAAGGGGAGGTGGTAGAAGCAACGATGATAGTGACATTTAAGAGGCATTTAGGCAGATACATGAACAGGCAGGTGATAGAAGGATACAGACCATGTACAGACAGATGTTTAAAATATGATTATGGTCAGTATAGACATGGTGGGCTGAAGGCCCTGTTCCTGTGCCATACTGTTCTATGTTTTCTATTTTCTCTGTGTTCTAATTCACTGTAAAATTGTGTTCATAATGTGCAACAGAGGGAAACAAAGATAAAATTGAGAGATAAGAGATAAATAAAAATTTTAATTTGTATTTTCATTTTTTAACTTTTACAAAATTTCCACAATTACAGCTTGAAGTAATTGTATTCCAAAACATAAAAAATAATTTTCAGTGCCAGAGAGGTTGTTAGACAATAGTTAAGACTAATTGTGTTGTTAAACAATTATTTACATCCGAATGCATAGTCCTAATATTTTCTGACATGTTTTCCACCTAATTTGTCCATAAGTAATGCAACTTCCCACTTTACATGGACTTTAATGCCAAGGTACAGGTGTATTTTGTGTCTAAGAAGGGCATATCAGGCAATAATTTCAACATTTAACGAAAAATATGGACTTTGGAAGTTGTTGCCTGATTTATTCCATAATAACTGAAAGCATTGCTAGCCTCACTGCTATTCTTAGCCTAAGATCAAGAGCAATAATGTTAAATTAAAACTCTTAGGCTGGGAATTTCTTTGGAGCTGCTCCTGCTATGCGGTTGTTACTCCTCTGGAAGTACTGTATAAAGACAAATCAGGTTTCCCTATATTTCTGGTTAAAATGTGGCAGCAGATGAAGAGCAGCCACAAGGAAACAGCCAACAGTATTTGTAAAGTTACTGTTGCAATATAAACAAAAGCTAACAAATAATTCTTATAAAATTGATTGATTCTGTTTTTAATAACTAAATTGATTGATGCTTTATGTTTTGAATAACAGAATTCAACAGAAGGAGTAATGTGCCTGTCACCCTCACCCAGCTACAACAGTAGTTCTGTATTTTGCAGCCTCCGAAAATATGCATTGGGATTCCAGCATGCAATCCATGCAATTACTGGAAATTTTACTGATACCATTGATCAGAGCACAGAGCACATTTCCACTAGTGAGACTTGTTTTCCTGATGCTGATCCTCAAAGAATAAAAGTGCCCACTGTTGATGACAATACATGCCCTCATCATAATTCTTTTCCTGAAGTTGATAATCCACACCTGCCCACTACTGATCTTCCAATATCAGAGCAGTTGTATCATCAGATGTCAGTTTCTCAAAGGATTTCTAGTCCTGTACATCCTTCAGTAGGTAGTCTTGCAGAGGACATCCAGTTGCCAATTATAATAACAGACACAGTTGTGGGAAATCCTTCCGATGTTCCATGGGCCAATGAATCTCAGTTCTTTGAGGTACTTTCCAATTATGCAGAGGCTATGTCAACTGAAATACTCAGCACAGTAATTACTGATAGTACTGAAGGAAACAGATCCACAGTGGAGCAGCCAGAGGCTTGGGTACCCATTGAAGGCCAAATTTCATCAGAAGCATTTTCACATGATACTATCCAGCATGCCCATTTACATCAAACTTTTACAGGTATTGATGAATGTCCCAAATCATCTCAAGATGGTTTAAGTACAAGCAGAGAAGAAGGATCTGAGGAGAGTCCTGACCTATCAAAAGGTGGGAGGGTAGAAGCTCTTCACTATGGCCTGGCCCATCTGGCAAATAGGGAGGCTTCCAGTGCTTTTCATAGATGCTTTCAGGAAGTTGAGAGTCAAATGGAAGGGAGCTTCGCTGACGATATTTCAAAATCAATAAATGCAGATTCCTCAGGAGAAGCAAAAGTTGCAATACTTCCTGTTGTAGAAAATTATGCATTGAGATTGACCCATGATGTAATTTCTGACAGCACCAGAGAAGCAAGCTTAGAAAGGATGATGACACAAAATAAACTACAGCAAGGAGAAAGTTTGAACTCGCACCTTGCTTATATTGGATCACATAAAAGTAACGACCTTTCAGATATGTCACAATCTGACATTCTTACACACGAAATTGACCATCTAACAAGCAACGAGGTCAGTTCGTCATGTGCTGGACCATTGCTTCAAGGTGATGAACAAGTTGAAACTTTAACCCAAGTTCCACAACGATGTTTGGATGGTTCTTCTCCAGACAGGGAAAGGCATTTATCAATGATAGACAAAGAAACAGCTGATGATTGTGATTATGAGAAACAAATGTTCGATATACTTGGACTCACCAAGAAGGGTTCACTGGATTATCCCGATGCACCTCCACCTACACCACTGAGGCCACAGCTGAGCAGCAGTCAAAGGAGTTTTACTAGAAAGCTCAAGGGAGGTTTGGCAAAAGAATTCCTTCCTTCACCACCTCCACCAACCCCAAAGGAAAACGTCAATTTCTGTTTGTCTGAAGAGGATCGAGAAACTGAGGAAAAGACAGAATTTATGAGAAAGCTAATCCGATCATTGTCTCAAGAGTTCAACGGAAAAGACACTACTGGAATTTCTGAGGCACCTGAAGAGGAGAGTTTGGAACTGATGTCTCCGGCTCCAAAAAGTGAACCAATAGGGAATTCCTGCGGAGATGGAGAAACTGTACAAGACTATTTTAGACATTTGATGTCAGGTATTGTTTTTTCTTCTGCACAAGTAATTTGTGGCATTATGGGTGAAAGTATTGATCTTAAAGCACCCAAACATCAGCGCTGTGATAGTGTTACGTGTAGTGATGAATACCAACCAAATATCCAGACATCAAAAGAACCAAACCCACTTTCTTCTGATCCGGTTATTCCAGAAACAGAAAAGAATTCAATTAAACACATTGAGAATAAACACAGAGACAATTTTCAGGTAAGCATGGAAAGCCTCTTAGAGGACTATGCTGATATGTTAGCACAGAAAATTATCAATGTGGTTATTAACTTTCTGAACCAAATTGACCTACTTGACCATGGAGAACAAAACATGAATGGAAAAAGTGAAATGTCTTTTGAAGATGGAAATAAAGATTGTAGGCATTCATGTCACATTAAGCAGATAAATTCCATGTCAGAGGAGTGGGTAAAAGGAATAATACAATCTGCCCTTCAAGTATTTCATACTCAATATCATTTACAACAAGACAGCTGTACCGACCCTGAGATTTTGCATTCATCAGAACAGTTGCAGAACACAGATTCAGCAGCCAGAAGCATTGACATTGAGGGCAGTACAGAAGAACACCAAATCAAAATGTCATTGGAAACAACTAAATCTGAAGTAAGCAGTGAGGATGAGGTTCTATGCAGTCATCTTGCTTTTACTGAGGCGCAAAATCCAGTTACTCAAGGCTTAGGATGTGCAATTGGTATTGGGACCAGACCAAGCCCTGATGAAGGAACAAGTGATGGCAATAACAATTACAGTCAGTCCCCATACAAGCAGGCGCAGGTAGACGTGATAACTGAAGATCTCACTGGAAAGAACCGAAGTTGCTTTGTTCAAGCAGAAACAAAAATGAGCTTATTTGAACAAAAGGAGGAAAGTTTACGTCAGCATAAAAATGAGGATGAATGTTTAGCCTTTCATTCAGAGGCCATTGTTGAAGATAAAGAAACATCTTCCACCTTAGAATTATCCAAAGTCTTATTGAAGGATCCAGACCACAAACCAATAAATGAAGCATATGCTGAAAACTTAGCAGCAACAATACTTGAATCCTCCTTGGCCGATGCATATAAACATTCTGGTACTGGACTGGTTACAGATGAGATGCCAATGTGTTCTCCAAACACTGAACAGTATAGAAAATCTACTTCTGTTTCTAACAGCCCAGGTGAACAAAGTCCAGAGCTCCAACAGAAAATAAGAACAGAAGAATCATTGAAGGATCGAGAACCTGGTGTTCCCATAATAGAAAACACTAAATCACAAAGCTTAAATGTAGTTGAATATACAGATGTAACATCATCAAAGCAAGCACAGGAGGATCTGAGTCAGTCCACTGTCATGGAACAGTGCCATGCTGAAGAACAGGAAAGTTGTGAGGAAACGAGGAACTCTACTTCCCTTGCTCCAAGGGCAATTGAAGTCTCGTTGGTGAACTTTAAGTCTGCTGGTGTTGATGCACAGGTGCAAGCAATGCTGCAGTGGGCTGCAGCATCTCAGCTTAGCATCACCAAAATTCATATAAGGACTTCAAGTGATGACTTCATACAGGTAAGTGCCACTCACTAGGAATTAAGATTTCTTTCCCCTGTAAGCTCTCAGTTAATGTAAATTGGTTATGACATTATCTTACTTAATGAGCCCACTTCAAAACCATGAACAAATCTACAAAATAATGCATCACAGTCACATTGTAGTTAATTATATTTTGTGTGATGTTTAGACAACATGTTTGATTGAAAACATTTTATCAAAAAAAAATCTTAGTACAGGCAGCACTGCAGGTTGCTATCTGGGCAGTTTGCTTGGTGTTTTCCATTGATCACATAGAAGAACGTCATGTAAATAATTGCTCACTTCCCTCCCAGGAAATTAATCTATGTCTGATTACAATGCAAGTAGATTTTCCCCTTTAGGTTTACCTACTTGCTGGTTGAAATTTCCAAAGATATCAATGGATGTACCTGTTAAAAAATTAACATTTATATTAAGCTTTGTCTGTCTAATGTTTTACAAGAGATTAAACATTGCTTATACTTGTGAAAAATTTTCAAAACTTAATGGGAGATCCTCAGTTTGAAACTGAAACTCAGCAAGTTGTGGAGAAACTTGGAGAGATGTCTTTCCCCTGATTGGACTATGATAAATGAATCATGTATTTTGACACTGAGCTACTGTGTACACGCGAGTAAAAGTTGACCTCATGTAAAAGCCAACACCTTATTTTTGGCCAAAAAATCTTGAATTTTCCATTTATCTCATGTAAAAGTTGACCCTAGTTCTTCGGCCCAAAACATTGACTTTCCTGCTCCTCTGATGCTGTCTGACCTGCTGTTTCAGCCTCACACCTACAGACACAATCATATACCTAGTTGAGGTTTTGAAATTTCTTCATCATTTTGTGTAAAAATGTTCTCTAGAGGAAACAAAACATATACAGCAGCATTTGAAATGAAAGTTATTGAACTTGCAGAGAAGACAAATACCTGTTTGGCAGCAAGAGAATTTTGTGTTTCAGAGAAACTTGTGAGAGACTGGAGAAAGATATCGAACCAGTTTCAGACATTGCCAAAACAAAAGTGTGCCAACAAAGGTAAACCTAGCAAGTGGCCACAACTGGAGAAAAAAGTTGCTGAGTGGGTACTTGAAAATCATCAAAATGGAAGCTGTGTTAGTAGTGAAGCCATCCAAATCCATGCACAAAACAAATCATAGGATGGAATTTCGCGTTTTAAGGCAAGTGCTGAATGGTGCACAGGTTCATGAGAAAGCATGACTTAGTACTCCAGCAGAGAACTAACATTGCACAAAAGCTGCCTGTTGAACTCCAAGATAAGATATTACAGTTTCACCACTTTGTAATCAGAAACTGGCAAAAGAAAGGCTACAAGTTATCATGCATAGGAAACATGGATGAAATGCTGATGAGACTGAACATGCTGGAGAATTGAATGGTGAACCAAAAAGGAGAAAAAAACAGTATTGGTGAAAACCACTGGCCATGAGAAAAGTAGGTTTACTTTAGTTGTTTGTTGTGTGGCTGATGGCACTAAGTTAAAACCGATGATTGTTTTTAAGACAAAAACTTTGCCAAAGGAGAAATTTCCAAAACGAATTATCGTCCATATGTATCCATGAGGCTGGTTGGATTAAGATAGATGTAGAAAATGGATAAAAGAAGTTTGGAATTTACGACCTGGTGGACTACGCAAGGAAAAGAGTTTTCTCGTCTGGGACCAGTTTAGATCACACCTAGTGAAGGTCATTGTTGATAACATCCGATCACATAACACTGATGTAGCTGTAATTCCCAGCAGACTTACGAGTGTTTTGCAACTAATGAATGTTAGTATCAATAAGCCATTTAAGGACATCATGAGAATGAAGTGGAATAACTGGATGTGTGATGGAGAAAAACATACAGGAGAGGAGGCAGTATGCGGGCTCCATCACTGCCACTGATCTGTGAATGGATCGTTGAATCATGGAAGGAAATAAAAGCTGACGCTATTTTCAAATTATTCAAGAAATGTGGAATTTCAAATGCTTTGGATGTTACAGAGGACTATTATCTATGGGATGACATAGATGAAGAAAAAGAAGTGGATGATGAGCTATCTCTAAATATGGACAGCGAAGATGAAAAGGCTCCATACAATGATATCATTCATCCTAAAGATGTTGAACACGTTTAATTTTTGTATGTACAATTAAAAGCTTACTACCGGTAATTCATTTTTGTTTTTATTGTCTTTATCAGATAATCACCGGTATCCAGTAATTCATTGTGTTTTTCTTCCTTATTTGTTTAGAGATCAATTGGGCTTCTGTTAATGATATGGTATTTTGGACTGTAGCATGAATTTCAGCCCCTCAAAATTAGTATCCACTTTTAAATTTAATATTAATTTTAAGAAAGTCTAAAAAATTCGACTGCTACACGAGTATATACGGTATACAGATCCAAGAAGGTCCGATCTTTGGACTACACTGTTTTCAACTAAGGTCAACAACTAAAATTATAGAATCAGGGATGAGTTCTGTTTCTGATCAAAATCCACTATTACAAATACGTACATAGGTCAGGTTTTGTTGTGTTGCTCCTACATCAAATAACTTTTTGCCAATCATGTTTTAAGCTTCATATTTGATAAGATATGTGTTTTTTTTCTGTGGAATGCTTGGCATGGATCACTGCTTTCAGAGAGAAGGCTTTACAATTCGGACACATAATTATGTGGACTTGGTATGGTTTCTGTTTTATTGCAAGTTACTTACTCATGGCTGATATGATTTCATTTGCTGTAAGAGGACAGAACCAGGAAGCCTGACCAGACAGGAAATTCTGACTGGAGAGGATTGTATTTTTTTCCGGTTCTAAGTTTAAAATTTACACCATCTCTGTCATATTGGAAACAAAGTAGCTGTCTCCTCTGTGCTATTCTGTTAGTTCCAACTTCATTTTTACTTCAAGCAACTAATTGGTTCATCTGTAATCTGTTTGCAGTTATAAACGTAGCTAAGTTGTGTTTGGGATGGTTAAATTCAAATTATTTTTGAGATATCTAAAAATAACAGAGGGATTCTTTGGATGCGGTATGTATCCAGTTAGAAGAGCTAGCAAAACAGGGTGGGAATTACATATGATTATTTTTAACTAAACACAAATAAGTGTTCTAAAGATATGATGTCATTGCCCACAGGGTAATAAGTTTAATATTGCAAAGCTAATATTTACCAGCTGAGATTTTTTAAGTATAAAATTTGCTTAATTCTTATCACTCCAATATTTCTTTTTGAGGTTGGGTTACTATTTTTTGGCTATTCCTTCTCAGCTGGAGGGTGGCTAATGTTGTGCCTTTATTTAAGAAAGGCTGCAAGAAGAAGTCTGGGAATTATAGATCAGTAAGTCTGACATTGGTGGTGGGTAAGTTGGTGGGGGGATTCTAAGAGACAGGATTTACTTGCATTTGGAGAGGTAAGGACTGATTAGGGATAATCAGCATGGCTTTGTGTGTGGGAAATCGTGTCTCACAAACTTGATTGAGTTTTTTGAGGACATAACCAAAAAGATAGATGTGGGCATTGTGTACATTGACTTTTGTAAACCCATTGACAAGTTCCACATGGTGGACTGATTAGTAAAGTTAGATCACGTGGGATTTAGTCAGAAGTCCCACAACACCAGGTTATAGTCCAACAGGTTTATTTGAAGTCACACAAGCTTTTGGAGCACAGCCCCTCCATCAGATGCAGTGAGAGAGCAGAGCACATGGACTTAGAGTTATAGGCCGCAACCTTAAAATTGAGATAGAGTTCATATTCTCAGCTTGTGTTCAAGATACAGCAATACAGTTACAAGATACTGCCAAACAGACGAGGCAATGGAACTACACCACCTATGTGCACACCAAGAACAAGAAACTGGAGAAACTTGGCGTCATCACCAGCAGTGACAAAGCCACCCCTGGTACCACAGTTGATAGCAGTACCACCGCGGGAAGATCAATTGTCAACTGATTTGATGACATCCTTCGACTGGACGAAATCAAAGTTCTCAGCCGAGGCCTCAATTTCTGCCCCACCACCAAAATGGACCCCAATGATTTTGTGGCAGACACAGAGGAATTCATCAGGCGAATGAGACTCCAGGAATTCTTCCACAAACCCCAAGATATCAGCAGCGAGCCCAAGGAGACAACCAAAGAACCGGAACAGTCGACAGAGTGATCTGTGATGCAGCGACCAAAGAAGAAGGAATCAAATTGGACCCCTCCGCGAGGATGCTGCCCTAGGCTCGACATGTATGCTCAAGCCATCAGGAGATGTGAGTGCAGCTGATGAATCTGGTATTAACATAAGGTAGCGCAGAATGTCACATAAGCACAAGCAATGCCATCTGTGCTCTCAAGACCATTGCACCATTGTCATCAAACCAGCAGACAAAGGAGGAGCCATCGTCAGAATAGGACGGACTACTGCGAGGAAGTGTACACACAACTGAACAACCAGGAACATTACAGACAACTATCTGCCAGTCCAATCAAAGAACACACCCATCAACTCAACTGACTGATCAAGACTTTTGATCCAGACCTTCAAGAGTACCCTATTACGTTCTCATCATGTAGGAGACTTCTACTGCCTTCCAAAGATACACAAAGCCAACACACCATGATGTCCCATTGTATCAGGCAATGGGACCCTGTGTGAGAACCTCTCTGGCTATGTCGAGGGCATCTTGAAACTCATTGTGCAAGGAACCCCCAGCTTCTGTCACAACACTACAGATTTCTTACAGAAACTCAGCACCCACGGACCAGTCGAACCAGGAACACTCCTCGTCACAATGGACGTTTTGGCACTCTACACCAGAATTCCCCATGACGATGGCATAACTGCAACAGCTTCAGTACTCAATGCCCACAACGGCCAATTTCCAGATGCCATCCTACAACTCATTCATTTTATCCTCGACCACAACGTCTTTAACTTCAACAACCAGTTCTTTATCCAGACACACGGAACAGCCATGGGGACCAAATGTGCACCGCAATATGCCAATAATTTCATGCACAGGTTCAAGCAAGACTTCTTTGCTGCACAGAACCTCTGACCAACGCTATACATCAGATACATTGATGACATATTCTTCCTTGGACTCCTGGCGAGGAATCCCTGAAACAACTACATAGTAATATCAACAAGTTCCATTCCACCGTCAGACTTACCATGGACTACTCTTCAGAATCAGTCTCGTTCTTGGGCACATGCATCTGCACAAAGGATGGACACCTCAATAGCTCACTCTACCGCAAGCCCATGGATAACCACATGTACTTCTCTAGCTTCCACCCTAAACATACTAAAGAAGCCATCGCCTATGGACAAGCCCTGTGCATACATACGATCTGCTTGGATGAGGAGGAACGTGAAGGACACCTGCAGGTTTTGAAGGACGCCCACATAAGAACGGGATACGATGCTCAACTCATCGATCACCAGTTCCGACGTGCCACAGTGAAAAATCGCAATGATCTCCTTAGAATCCAACACAGGATAAGACCGATAGAGTACCCTTAGTTTCTCCTCTCCAGGCAAGTACTGGAAAACTACGCCATGTTCTTCGCAGCCTTCAATATATCATTGATGATGATGAGCATCTCACCAAGGTCTTCCCTACACCTCCACTTCTCGCTTTCAAACAACCGCCAAACCTTACAGAGACCATTGTTCACAGCAAACTACCAAGCCTTCAGGATATCGACCATAACACCACACAACCCTGCAACGGCAACCTCTGCAAGACATGTCAGATCATCGACATGGATACAACCATCACGCATGGGAACACCACCCATTACATATGCGGCAGATACTCAAGTGACTCAGCCAGTGTTGTCTATCTCATACTCTGTAGGCAAAGATGCCCCGAGGCATGGTATACTGGCGAGACCATGCAGACGCTATAACAACGGATGAACGGACACCCTGTAACAATCCCAGTGGGGGAACACTTCAGCTATCAAGGACATTCAGCCTCCAATCTTCGGATAAATGTCCTCCAAGACAGACTCTGAGATACACAACAACGCAGAATCGCTGAGCGGAAACTGATAGCTAAGTTCCTT